ATATACACTGTTGTTTCCCAAAGTATTTTAAGAAGAGACTACAATTATCAAGCATAAGCTAGTCTTTATATAAGAAACAATGTTCACTCAAAACCATGTAGTTTATAAAGCACTTCTACATATAATATTTCAAAGACCATTCACTACCACCATTCAATCACCAGTGAGTGCAATGTGTTATTCCTATTTTACAGATGAGAAGTGAAAGGATTTACCTAAATTCACACAATATATGATTCAAATCACTTGCCATCAGATACACACCACATTGTGCCTCTTCATTCCACATCAAAAAGTCACAATAGGCTCGGTGCCCATAGCACAGTGGTTACAGTGCCCACCACATTCACAGAGGCTGGCGGGTTCAAGCTCAGCCCAGGCCAGCTAAACAACGACAACTGCAACAAGAAAATAGCCAGGCATTGTGGCTGGCACCTGTAGTCCCAGCTACTTGGGTGATTAAGGCAAGAGAATCGCTTAAGCCCAAGAGTTTGAGGTTGCTGTGAGCTGTGATGCCACAGCACTCTACCACGGGCAACATAGTGAGACTCTGTCTCAAAAAAAAAGTCACAACACTATTCTATCTCCCCAATTTAAGCATGTCTATTACCAATACTGTAAGAACAAATGTCAGCTATTAATGACACCGTGAATTCTAAGCACAAAAGGGAAAGAAAACAAACTCTGCATTTTCTCTGAGAAGCCTGGCACTCTGGTCAGCACCCAATCTATACGTTGCCTAATGTTGTTCTCACAATAGGCCTTCAGGTAGGTTCTGGCATTCCCATTTATACCTCAGAAGACAGACTCATTGAGGGTCAGACCCTTAAGATTACGTATTAAACAGATGACACAGCACTGATTTTAACCATGTATCTACTATACCACACTGTCTTACCTGGTACAAGTGACGCCTTTTTCTAGTCAACAACAAAGAAAAATAAAGCACCTTTTAGGTTAAAATACTGTGTAATTTTTTTTTAGTTCTTTTTTAGAGACAGAGTCTCACTTTATCGCCCTTGGTAGAGTGCCATGGCATCACAGCTCATAGCAACCTCCAACTCCTGGGCTTAGGTGATTCTCTTATCTCAGCCTCCCAAGTAGCTGGGACTACAGGTACTGTGTAATGTTGTAAAGTGTTAAGCATTCCCCTGTTACTCCACTACTTAGTAGTGAGAAAAAATTTCACTACTAAGCACAACACTTTTTCTCCTTTCTTATGTTCTCTGGTTTACCCTTAGTAATTGCTGACCTCACTGTGCCTTGAGGGCTAGTCATTAGAAGAGAAAAGTGATATATTTGGTGGCTCACACCTATATAATGCCAGCACTTTGGGAGGCTGAGGTGGGAGGATGACATGAAGCAAGGAATTCAAGACCAGCCTGAACAACACAGTGAGACCTTGCCTCTACAAAATTATTTTTTAAAAAATTAGCTGAAGCTGGTGGTGTGAGCCTATAGTCCTAGCTATTTGGGAGGCTGAGGAGGATTGCTTGAGCCTGGGAGTTCAAGGCTACAGTGAACTATGATCACGCCAATGAACTCCAGCCTAGGATGACAGAAGGAGAATCTATCTTGAAAAGTAACATATCCTTAACTAATAGCATTTTATATGGTCACAGGAATCATACAAATACAATTCTGCCCTAGGTCTAAGTTAATTCTATCAAATGGTATGTGTCGGATACAGAAAGTGTGAGCCTCTCCAAATAATTAGAAAATGAAAACGATGAAGAAACTAACAATCCATCATTTTAATCACCACTGAGGTGATTTCAGACAACACACAAGAAAAGAGTTTGCCATCCCACACATGACAACGTTGAGGAGAGACAGCATTGTCCTCAAAATACTATTTGCACACCTTCAGGTGTTAACTGCTAATGAGGGACAAAGATAGAAAAGAAGAAATGTAAACATGACACTTTAGTTTTAAACTTGGGAAAATTACTGAAGGACTTTCCTGAACAAAATTTAGTTCGTTTTAACAAGTTAAGACGTACTATGACTCCCACGGGGTGCTTCCTTATCTGAAGCAAACAAAAGGAACTTTCTATTAACACAAGCTATACTCGGAAGGTAAATAGCTATAAAGGCTTTTAACCATACTCTATGTTCAGAGAACAAATAGGAAAAGCTAAGTCTATCTGAGCCAAACTGGAGGGGCCAAGGGAAAAGTTTGCTGGGCCAGGCACCGTGGCTCATGCCTATAATCCCAGCACTTGGGAGGCAGAGGTGGGTAGACTGCCTGAGATCACAGGTTCAAGACCAGCCTGAGCCAGAGAGAGACCCTATCTCTAAAAAATAGCCAGGCATTTTGGCCGGAGCCTGTAGTCCCAGCTACTCGGGAGGCTGAGGCAAGAGAATCGCTTGAGCCCAAGAGTTAGAGGTTACTGTGAGCCATGACACCATAGCACTCCACTGAGGGTGACCAAGTGAGACTCTGTCTCAAAAAAGAAAAAGAAAAGTGTGCTGGGAGGACTGAGAACAGGGACAGAAGTAAATAAAAAGGAAACAGGAAGAACTGAACTAGAAGGAGTATGTGTGGGAGGGAGGAGTAAGGGGTAAAGAAGGCTGGGACCCAGGAAGTACTAAAAGAGATGAGCAGTTCAGGCCTAGAACCAGAAGGTCTGCCAGAGCCTGTTTTATCTTAAGGACCCTCCTCTTCTGTAGGGTAAAATTAAACCAAAGAAATGAACTGGTTAAAATTAGAGAAAATGGAGTTCATTTAAGATACAGGGGAAGGTCCTGCCAAGGACAAGGGGAGTAATAACTGATAGAGAATGGAAGGAACTTTTTAGTTTTTTTTTGAGACAAGAGTGCTGTTGCATCACAGCTCACAGCAACCTCCAGCGCTTGGGCTTAGGCGATTCTCTTGCCTTAGCCTCCCCAGTAGCTGGGACTACAGTCGCCCACCATGATGCCCAGCTATTTTTTTGTTGCAGTTTGCCTGGGGCCAGGTTTAACCCACCACTCTTGGTATATAGGGCGGGCGCCATACCCACTGAGCTACAGGCACCGCCCTATTTTGTTGTTGCAGTTGTCACTGTTGTCTAGCAGGCCCTGGCCGGATTCGAACCGCCATCCTGGTGTATGTTGCCGTGCCCTACTCACTGAGCCACAGGCGCCGCCATTTTTAGTGCTTTTTAAATATAACTTTGTATGTATGAACTGAATGGTATGTGAATCATCTCAATGTTTGTTATTTTTTAAGTGTGTTAAGCTGAGCAAAGTGTGGCTACTTAGGATATAATTAGCATGATTAGCTCATTGTCTTGTAAAAGAGAACCCTCAACCACCCTCACTCAATAGGGAAAGTTTTCTGTGCCTCAGAATATTTCTGTTGGAATGCATGTTACCAGTACAGAAGCAGCAGTAGGGCGGAACTCACTCTCTCCATTTTTGCCCTTGCAAAAATTTGATCAGATTTTATAAGGTGGTGTGAGAAAAGAAAGCTTCTGTCTGGGGTCTGCCTTTGACATGCAGTTATCAGATTTCTTCAGGGGCTGATCTAGGGCCATAATCTACCTAGTTGAAGAGAAAATGATCGGGGGTGGAAGAGTCAAGTAAGTTGTGGAGAAACCCCAGAAGGTTCATCATGAAATGATCACAGATGACTTATCTCTGCTATCCCCAAACTGAACTGTACGCCCCATGTCACTTCCGACTGTTACGAAGATGGATGCTTAGCCAGGATCCCACAAGTTTCTGGCGAGCGGCCCACTCACACAATTAGAAAGCCATTTGGGGACCAACCAGGCGCTGGGCTCCCCTTCATCCCTCCCAATGCAGGAAAGGGACAGAGGCCGGCACACGCCGAGCGGGAACGCCCAATCCCGCGCCTTCACCCTCCTCCTCTCAGCAGGGTTTCGGGGAGCCGCCCCCTGCCCCCCGCGTACGCCCATCCCTACCCGCCCTAGCCCTGGGCCCGCGACCCCAGGAAGGAGGGGGGCGGCGGCGGCGAGCGCCCCCACCGGCTGCAAGCGGGCCGCCCCCGGGGCAGCTGTCGCCGCGGCCCGGCGGGCTCTGGCCTCCCCGGAGCAATAGGCTATCGATTCAGCAGCCTGTCGCTAGGAGCCCCGGGAGAGCGAGGCCTACACCTCCCGGCCGGAGCCCCAGCCTCGATTTCGCCACTTTGCCCAAAGCGGAGGGAGAGCCCGGCGGCAACCAGGCCGGTCTGGGCGTAGGGGAGAGAAGTAGAGACCACTCGCAGCCCGGCAACCGCGGGTAAAAGGGGTGCGAGCGCCGGGCTCCGGCCAGCAAGTCTCGCGGGCGTCGACCGCCTGCCCCCTGCCTCGCAAGTTGCGCATTCAAGTTCAGGCTGGTGCCCCTTATCCTTCAGAGCCCACGCCACTCTCGAAACCGTAATAAAAATAAGACACGGAAGAGGCCAACATAGCAAAAAAGGAGATGGAGCTGGGCCCCCAAAAATGCCTAGAGGGGCGCCCAATACGACCGCCAGCCAGTCACCTCCCTCTACTGACCCTGCCAGCCCTCGGGTCGCAGCCCCCGGCCCCTTGGCGGCTGGGTCTGTCACACTCGGCTCCAAGACCCCCTGCGTGACCCCGAGGACGGGGCTAGAGTTCCCCTTTGCCTCTGGCGCTCCTCGGCCTCCTCCCCCCTCCAAATCCCAAAAATGCCCCCCGCACCTTTTAAAGTACGCGGAGGAAGAGTTTGCCGTCAAACTTTGTCAGGCGGTAACCTCGCCCCCCTCACCGACCCACACTTCCAGGGCAGTCTTCGGCAGAGACCACTTTGGACTTGGGATAAAGCGCATTAAGGAGCTGTCAACCATTTTAGGTCTTTTTTACAGAAGACATCCTCTCCTTCCCCTCCCCCTGCAATGGTTTTAATTTGACACCAAACCTTCCCACCGCAGAAGGGGGGTTGAGGAGGGAGGGGCTGAGAACCCAGGGCAGGAGGAGGGTGGCGAGGAAAAGCGAAAGGGGGAGGTGGGGAGGGGGTCGGGAGGCGCGGGGAGGGGAAGGGGGTTGATTTACCTGAGACCAGCCACTGGCCTCCATTGTTGGAGAATTCAATGGCATTGACACAGCCGAAGTGGCCGAGGAGGTCCTTCTTGTAGAGGTTTCTGCAGCCCCGCAGACGTCTCCTCTGAAAGTCCTGAGTGAGCAGGGGGTCCCCATGCAAGCCCCGCTGGGACAAGAAGCCCACCACTGACCTCATGCTGCCCCCCAGGCCAGCTCTCCTCTTCATGCTGGAACCGCCGCCGCCGCCCCTCCCTCGGCCTCACGCGCGGCCGCCGCTCTCCCCCCACCCAGCCCTCCCCCCGCGCTGCGATCCGGATGGTTCTTTAACCAGCCATGGCAGACAGAGCGAGGTGTGCAGACACTCGGCGGCGTTCGCGGCTTCCTGACGATCCCCTCCCTCTCCTTCCCCCCCTAGGCTCCGCCCTCTCCCTCCCCGCCTCCTCCAGCAGCTGATCCTCAGCTGCGACCGCGCTTCCGCGATGCGCGGCCCTTCCGCCGGCCGCTGGGGCCCAAGAACGCCGGCGTCGGGCGCCCCTCCCCCGCCGCGGCCGGCCAACCGGAAGAACGCGGGCGGCTGGCCTGGAGACCGCGGGCGCCGGCTGCGCTTTCCCCTCAGCGGCGGCTTCCCGCGCGGGGACCGGGGTCGCGCCGGGCGGAGACCCCTGCTGCAACCCTCGGGGCCGCACTCTGTGAAGTTGAATGCGCGTAACAGGGTGGTCCCGAGGCTGCCGGCTCCTCCTCCTTCACGGGCGGCTGCGGTCCCTTGCCGCCTGGAGACTGGGCGCGGGGACGAGTTCAGGGAAATGCAGTCGGAGGTAGAGGGAGGACTTGAGGACTCTGATCTTCCTACCTCGGTTCTCCTCCTGGGGCCTTAGCCCTGTCCACGGGGGCGGGGCGGGAGACCAGGAATTAGGACTAGACACTTGAAAGGAAGGTGGCTTGGGGATTTTGTTATGACACCCGTCCCTCCTCCCTATAAAATTTTGCCTCCTCCCCCAAATTCGGTTCTCCAGTTCTCCCTTCGCCCAGTCCTTCGATAATAAAGCCTAAAGCCTAAATTGTTATATCTGGCAGACAATAGAGTGTGGTATGTGGGGGAAAGGAAGGAGAAAGGGATTAAGAAGTGAGCAGAAAATTGCCAAAACCAAGTTGAGAAGTCCAGAGAGGGAGAAGGGTCCTTTGGTTCTAGATAGATTTGCAAGACACAGCAGCATTATTTGAAAGTAGCGACGTATGTTATTTAATTGGGTGTGGTGAGCTCCTCCTAAAGGTCTTGAGTGGGGAGCTCTGAAGTTGTACAACTGTTAACCAGCAGCTGCGTTCCAGGCCAGAAGTAGCAGCACTTCAGTGGGCTGGGAGTCACCGAGTGTTGACCTCAGTGGGTGTTAAGTGCTTTGGAATTCTTCCAGATACAGTTAAAAGTCCTCTTTTCAGTGTATTGTAGTACTTTTCCTAGAAGCTTTCCTCAGTCACTAAGTGGTAATAAGCTACTGAAATGGGCAGGTGTCTGTTTTGCCCTTTCAATTTAACAGGAATCGCATTCTCTGGCCCAGAGATGGCACAGAGGCGGTTTAGTACAACCATCATTGAAAATACGGGCTGGGGCTCGGCGCCT